GCCCCAGGCCTAAGCAACCAATATCTGAAGCAGATGGGGGGGAGGGCTGCGCTGGGTTAGGGCTGGCAGTGGATGCACTGGTCTTGAAGGCTGATGTAACCGCTGTCAGCCAGCCACAATTCAGCCCAGGTTGGCAATCGCAGTCCGGACAGAACCGCTACTCGTTCCATGTCCAGATCGCAGTTTGCCATTAAGGGACCCCTGCCGGTATTGGTTTACCTATGCTCTTAGTGGGGATGGACATTTGATATTCAACAGTATTTTACATCTTAGTGTACAGACAGTGTATAGAATATCTGAGTATCTATGGTGTGTGACACAGATGATGTTTGCATAAGAGAGAACTTATAAACTCATAGCAAAGAACGTAAGCAGTAATAAAACTGTTTATTACTTAATGGATGCCTCCAGTAATGTCTGTACAAGGGTGCTCCTTCTTGATATTTTATGTGGATTGATACCTGCTTTGCAGAGTTTAATAAAACCTTGGTTTGCAATATAGAGACCCTACAAGGAAAAGAACACAGTTACTTTCTTGGTGTTTTCTACAGAAGAAGTTATCTACTCAATGGGGTTGATTTACTAACCTTATAAACACACCACGGACATGTATACACCTCTGTAGTGTGTTCCCTCCCAGCATGATCTATGGGTGGAATCTAAACACCTTTGTAGTGTGTACACACCCAGCAGGTGTGTTGTGCAAAGCCAAGCATGAATTACAAGGTGATGTTGTGTAAATTAGCTCTATGTTGTGTTGCTTGCGTTGATGAATGCTGGAATGTAAATGCATGAGCTAAATATTTTTGTCTAAACTGTGAAGCAGCATTATATATGCATCATGTGCATGATTTTTCCATATATGGCATTAGTGGAAATATGCTTTTAGAGACTTTTTGGTTGATAAATACGTTTTGCTGTGTGAAAATCACACGCACCTGGTGCGTGCGTGTGTTTAGGTTAGTAAATCACCCCCAATAAATCAAACTTGAACTTACTAAGCAGCAGGAAGAGAAAAGCAGCCTCTTCAATGGTTGTGACTTCCCTACTTCAACAACATCAACATCTGTTAGATCAGTAAAAGGTTAGATTTTATTTGTTGTTGTTTGTATTAGTATTATTATTATTATTATTGTGTGCAATAAAGTGTTTTTGTTTTATGCCTTGAAATTAATTGGTCACTTGCTTGATTTACTTAATTTTAGTCAACCACTAGAATATGCACACTAGGGTCACTATTTACTTGTGATTTTTTTTTTTTTATTATGACTGAAACAAAAAGGTACTGCTTTCGCATATTAAAATATGAATTGACATGCCCCTTTGCTACCTAACATTTACTGCTAATTGGCAATCAGTCTAACATTGACTCACCTTTGCAGTTGTGTTTTTGTTTTGGATTGATTTATTTCACAGTTAAGCTAATTTGTAATGTCCTTTTTCTGTTATTTCCTTCCTCCCTGTATCTTACCATGAACTATATTTTACCCAAAGGGCTTATTATGGAAACACAATGTTATTTGAACTATTTGATGTGCTTAGAAGCTAGTTATTTAATTCTGTCTTTATATTAGCTTCCTGTAGTTATTTAATTCAGTGATAAATACCGGCTGTCCTATGTGATTAAAAACCATGGCCAGGCAGTGCCATTTTGTGTCAAAAAGGATGAGCAAGTTCCATAATGCGCAGTGCAAAAAACATTAATGAACTTACTCACCAACCACCAATCCTCCCTTGGCTCCCTCTTCCTAAATCGATAGTATTGGGCATCCCTCCACCAATGTCAATATTGCAATCAATGGTTTGGCAATCAATAAAGAAGAAAATGCTCCAAAACATCTGGTGCTCAAATGCTTTAAATTGATTGATATTATGTTACTAGTATAATAGGAAAGTTTTGGGTATCTTAATAAATATAATCAGCAAAGTGGAATCTTTTTTTTTATAAATAATATATTAAAAATAAAAAACACCCATTAATCTGCTTTCATATTGAATAAAATCATGACATTTATTTTGTACTACAACTAATCTAAGTACCTGAAATCTGTCTTTATATTAGCTTCCTGTAGTTATTTAATTCAGTGATAAATACTGGCTGTCCTATGTGATTAAAAACCATGGCCAGGCAGTGCCATTTTGTGTCAAAAAGGATGAGCAAGTTCCATAATGCGCAGTGCATATGTGTAAATTATGGAACTTTCCTCTGTGTTTGCAGTAATTCATGATTGTTCCACAGCCACCTGTACCTTCTTCTGTTTTGCTTCTTCCATAGTTAGAGCTTCCAACCTGTTCTATAGAGTGACAAATGATGATGCAACTCCGGCACCTGGGGAATGGAGTTATACCATCCCAGTAGTAGCCTCTACTCTTCAGCATCTTACAGTAAAATTGCAGGGACCATACACTGCACTGAGCATGCACAGCAGGCAGTGTTAGTTAAACAGGCATACTGCTAGGATAAAGGAGCCTATTGATAGACAAAATATACAAAGTCTCTTCTATAAAAACTGTACCCATTAGAAATGTTTTTGTTAGTTCAGTACCACCAAAGTAGCCATCATCACAATAAAATGTACAGTTTTTACTTTTTTATGGGGCACTGAATTTTACAATGCCTCGATGCATGTATCTGCTTCTGAATTCTGCTGCATTCATAATATGACTAGCTAAACATACCTTGTTTTAGTCTGGCCCACAGCTGCAGCAGTCATGTTTTATATAGATTAAGTCAAAATAATAACAAATGCTAAAGAATGTTAAAAAAAAAACAATAATTAAAGTTTAGATGCAATTGCAGTTTGTGCCCCTGTTCTTGAGATTTCTCTAAACTGTCTACCTGCAACTGAGAAAGAAAATGGGGTGAAATTTCTCCAACGGGGACAGAAAAAAAATGAATAAAAACGTATTCATAGTAACGTGGAGATTGAACCAATTATAGATTTCTTTATTACTGTCTTTGTCCTCACTGGTGTAATTTACTCTGGGTTAAGGTGTGACATGGAGGATGATTTACCAAAGGAGTTGAGAACCATTATACAATAAATTGTGTAAACATTCACTTCAATTATCTAATCGTAAGAAAAGCACTGTTTACTTATTCCATCTGCACATGATTGGATAACTGAGTTAAATTTTCACATACATTTTGTGGGAAGGTTCTAAATTCTGAGTAAATCGCCCCAACAGTGTCCAAATGAGGGTTGAGGGGAGAGGTCCCCAATGGTACAGCAATGAAAACCCAATAGAGGTTTTAATTTATCTCCCATCTATTCAAACTTAAAAAAATGCGGGCTGAAGTTAGTGGTCAGATACTTCATTTCAGTCAATATTAACAGATGCATTATTGTAAATATTATTTGTTTAGTGGCCAAATGTATTGTATGCTCTATCCTTAAAATTGCGCTTATTATCATTGCTGATTTTTTTTTTCATTGAGTGTTTGTAAATTTAAACAGGCAGAAAATATTCTCTTATCTGTAGGTATAGTCTTGACTGCAGTAAAAAAAAAAAAAGTAATTGGTCATGCAGTGTCTGACAGGGGCATGTGAATTAGAAACTGGCTAAACAATTACAGTATTATATTCAGCTGTATGCCTACACTAACACTTTAGGAGTAAAGGTCATGTAAATTGGGTTGCGATCTTCATGAGGGTTAACAGAAGATCAGGTAAAAAACATTAATGAACTTACTCACCAACCACCAATCCTCCCTTGGCTCCCTCCACCAATGTCAATATTGCAATCAATGGTTTGGCAATCAATAAAGAAGAAAATGCTCCAAAACATCTGGTGCTCAAATGCTTTAAATTGATTGATATTATGTTACTAGTATAATAGGAAAGTTTTGGGTATCTTAATAAATATAATCAGCAAAGTGGAATCTTTTTTTTATAAATAATATATTAAAAATAAAAAACACCCATTAATCTGCTTTCATATTGAATAAAATCATGACATTTATTTTGTACTACAACTAATCTAAGTACCTGAAATCTGTCTTTATATTAGCTTCCTGTAGTTCTTGCTGCTTGTTCGTTGTCCAGTCAGCAGAGTGGGGAGTCTATGACTAAGCTGTACTGCTTAAAGTTGAATTCTGGGCATATTCTGGCCTCAAAGCCAGCCCCAACAAAGGCTGTCAGTTGTGTCCCACAGCCCTAGACTGTGATGACACTAACTAAAAAGCACTCAGAGTTCTTTTAATGCAGAGAAGCAACAACGAGGCCAGAATTAGAGTAATAGCTGAACATCCTGGGGGGCGTTTACAATTGATTTTATCAGAGAAAATGAAATTGTAAGTGAAAAATATCCAATCAAAAGATATTGCCCGGAGTTCAGTTTTAACAGCAATGGAGGTCCAGACCTGGCTATGCTGTCTGGCATAGATCACCAGGGGAATGAACAAATACATTTATACATTTATTTTTAGCGGGTAAAATAGTTACCATGTATTTTAACTCTCTATTTGGCTGATAGCCTGTAGTTCAGCTTTAAATAAATTGATCATATTTGTACATGTGATTTGATTATACCACTACCCTTGATCAAGCAGACCTTTTCTAAACTTGTAAATAAAAGCAACATTTTGAAAAGTTCTATTATTTTTGACATGCACTATTGATCTTTGCAACCACCCGCAAGTCACCCACAGCTACAGTAGTTGAGAATAAGAGAAGCTTACCACAAAGCAGTCTGCCATATGTTTATAATGGGTCTCCTAGCAATAATTAAAGTTAATTCCATTACTTTGATATATAACCCCCTGTAGTTACTATATAGCATATGATAAATTAAGCATACATCTAAACTTTAAATTTATCTCATTTACAGAATAAACATTTCAAACTAAAAGTCAGATGTCTCCTCGGGGGTTTAGTTCAATTTCCTTATTTAACTTTGTTCAAGCATACACTGAAGAAATGCACAGGGTTACGAAACAGTATTTATTTCTTCCTTTTCTTGTTTTCCATACAACCAGAGATGCCACATGAAAATAAATATTCTCAGTTATAAAACGATTTTATTTCTGGATATTAAAAATCTGTTAGAGCTTTCATCACACTGCAGAGTGGATGCCACACAGAGAAGGTGTCAGTTGATACAGGTTTTATACCCATAATGCTTAGAGACAAAATAAGCTAAAGAAAAAAAAGTAACTTTGTCTTTAATTGGGATGCATCTTCAAGACATATCGGCCACCTATAGCACATATACAGAGATTTACAGCACTTGTTGTACCATGTTTGTACATGAACCATTTCCTCCATGTTTTACACATGAAAATACAATTAACAAAAACACATTTTTGGACAAAGACCGGAGTGCAGTGACACTTCCTATAAATTGAGCAAGGATTGTATAACTGGGGACAACTTATGTTTTATAACTGCAATCTAAGAACATTTTTCAAGCCTGCTTATTTTTCTGCATAGTATACTTCTGTTGAGTATGTCTTTCTTAAGTGGGTTTATATACACTGTGTTGGTGATTAAATCATGAGGTAAATAAAAGGCAATTCTTCATCCATGGACTCTTATTTGAGAATATGGCAACTTACAAATGTTTGAAAAATATTTTTTTATTCTCTGCAGCTGCTTATGGAGCTCTTCATGAAGTATTTTAAGCACCATCATTCTTTTCCAAATTTGGTAGGTATTTATTAAGTCATTATTGTCACAGTGTGTTAATGCCTGCTGTTTGGAATTTAAAAAGGGTCATGTTTGTCTTCTCTTCCCTTCATTCCATTCTTTACACGTTGATTTTAGGTGCAGACAGTAACATGGTTTTTAGCAGTTCAAGACATTTTCACACTGGCCCTTTCAGATCTTTAGCGGATTGTGGAGCAGCAAGGGCCTGGAGGCTGCAAGAAGAAGGATCGCAGTATCCTGCTGTTCCAGGAGGACCTGGTGGACCTGGGATTCCAGGCTGCCCAGATCGACCAGGTGGGCCTCTCTCTCCATCACGACCTACACGTCCATAACTTGGTTTGCCTGGCTCACCTGTTCAAAAACAAGGAAATTTAAGTAATTATAAACTATATACTATATTCTGTGCCTGCAACAGGGATCTTTAAATGTGTTGAAAATAAATACATAAATATTTATATTTACATAAAAAGCTATATTGCAAATTAAATATTAACTAAATTCAAGCAATTGAAAGCACATGATTATACAAAACAAATGACAATTGCCCATCACTTAACAGACATTTAAAATGAAAAAGGCATAAATCTTTGTGAAATAGGCAGCTAATCAGCCACTGCAAACTGAAATATACAACATACAGAGCAATTGTTTTTAGAGATATGTGTGAATGTGATCAGCTAATCCCACATCATCCTTTCAATGTACTTTAATAAAATATTTTCATTGTTTCTACAGATGGCATTGTTTAGCTCTCCAAATAATACCTATGAAGAATTTTGTATCTGTTTCTGAAGCTGCCAGTCATTGTATGCAATTCTGACAGGCTCTGGGCTTTTCTGCATCTCTGTTGCACAGGAGGTGCATATAATACGGTACGATGCTCACATACAACTTGACTACTCAGTTTGGAAGAAGTGAGGGATACTACTCGTTACCAGATCACAGAGTGCATGAGAAAGTTAAAAAAAATGCACTGTTTCAAATAAAGTGTATTAAAAAATAACACCTCTCTCCCTCATTCAAAGTAATTATTGTTTTACCATAGTGAACCTTCGCTTATACACAGCTGAACATGTTCACGGCTCCTCTGCAGAGGACACTGAAACTTCAAGATTGGTGCCCCATTTTTGTAGTTATCAATCATAAAACCAGCAAAGGCCTTCCCACTGATGACTCTCAAGTCTTGGGGATACCTGTACTTCCTGTGCAAAAAAATTCTAATTCAATGCCCTGCAATCACCTTTCTACTAGCCCATGTCTCCTAATTTATTCCACTCCAGCACTGCAGCCTCTATCAGGCTCTTCAGCATTCAACATTTCTAGGAGTGGCATATGCCTGTGCTGTGTCCTCTGGTTCCATCCTTTGACCCCTATATCACTATAGGACACAGCAGTGACGTAAAGGTCAGATAATGGAAACCACTATGTGGGAAGGAGACACAGACATTCAACAGTCCTGGAAGTGTTAAGTGCTAAAGAATCTGATAGCAAAATGAAATTAGGAAATACAGGATCTTGGGAAGGTTAATACAATAACTGTTCTATTGCAGGAGACTTGCATTAGGATTTTACATGTGACTGAAAGGACTACTTTAAAAATAACTTCTGGAAAAAAGAGAAAAATGAAAGGAGAGAAATGACAGACTATACACCAGCAGATCAGCAAATGACTCATTTAGGAATCGTTTTAAATCTTTAAAGTAAATCTAAACCCTACAATTTAGTTTGGCACTTTCACCATTGAGGGCTGCATTTCCTTATTCAGGGCAGGCTTCCTGGTGATCACAAGGGCAAAGCATGCCAGCATAGTATGCATTAACATGGCTCCTTATAGTCTCTACCTAAAGCATGTGGGACAGGAAGACAACAAAAAAGGGCAATTGGGAGACAGAAGCAAAGCATTGTCACCCCATAATAGTAAGTGCCTAAACAAGGACCTTCATGGCAGAGCCACCAGGTATTATTTTAATGAAAGCTGTACATTTATAAAGACTGATAATTACTTTTGAAACTACAACAACATTAACAGTTATATACTTTAACTTTGTTGATCAATTACTCATCTTTATGATTCATATTTCTAAGCAATAAATGTGAATAAGTATTCTGGCCGACGCATCTAATTATATGTTTGTATAATTGAACTGCAGAAACAGAGCTGCTAAGACTGTGATAATACATTGTATTTGCAACGTATTAAGATGGCAGCAGCTAATATTAATTAGTTCTAACATGTTCTCTCTTGTTCTGTGTTTTATTAGTAATCTACAGGGATCTATTTTCATAAATGATTGTTAGACAACCTCATGAAAGTGTGTTACCCTATGGGATTGTGGTCCTTTCATCATGCAGCCTACTGAAGTGCAAATCATATTTCAAGGTGCCTAGTTTCATGGTCCCAACCTTGTTCTTTGAATCCTATAGTTACCTCCAATTACATCCATGGCATTCTCTGATCTGCTGATACATATAGTCTAGGTCAGGGCTCAAAATTTCCACTCGCCCCCTCGCAATTGGCGAGTGAAAATTGCGTGGGGGCGAGTGGAAATCCAGGGGGGGGGGGACTTCCGCCGCTTCGGCAGCGCCGATCGCTGTCTGTTTCCTCCACCCGCTTCTTGGAGCGGCACCGCAGCCTCCGACGGCCGGGCCGCTTCTCCCTCGGCCCTGGCCACGCCTCCTCGTACACCCGGCAGCTCGCTTTAGGAGCTGCAGGTAAGAGGAGCAGCATGTGTGCAGGGAAAGGGACCCTCCACAGCCCACCTTAAGAGTCTCTGTGCAAGGTCTATGGTGGGCTCTGGGGAGGTATCTGGTGGGGATTGCAGGGTCTATGGTGGTCTCAGCCTGACACCCTGCAGAGCCCACCAGAGATCCTTTACAGCCCATCTGAGACCCCGCCTTCCCTGCAACACTAAGGCCTCATATAATTTATAAAATAGATGTCATCCAACTACAGACATGACATAAGATGGCGTAAGTGGTGATGAGCATTAATAAGTATGAAAAATGGCACTCATAAAATATTTACCAAAGATTAAAGTAAACCATTTAGTTCAACAGTAATATAGCAAGTTTTCAGGCAAGAAATTAAAATGTAAAGCAGCATCTGCTGAGCTGATCTTGTAGGCAACATTAGAGAGTGCTAACAGCAATATGTTACTCACAAGCTATAGGTAAGGATCACGGTCTAGACCAGGGGTAGGCAGCCTCGGCACTCCAGCTGTAGTGAAACTACAAATCCAGAATCTTGCAATGCCTTATGAGACTTCTAGTTCAACAACAGCTGGAGTGCAAAGGTTGCCTATCCCTGGTGTAGCCTCTAGCACCTCCTGGGCAAAGTTGTAAAATGGTGTCCAAAGAGTGTGGGAGTTTTATTTTACAGTGTAAGGCTTTTTTTGCCATAGTACATATGTAAAGCACACAGGAAAGTACATACCTGTAAGACCTTGTATTCCTGGCAAACCCTTTGGACCTCTTCCTGGCAATCCTCTTTCACCTCTTTCTCCACCATCACCTACAATACAATTTTAATGGATTAAAAAGAAGCAGGTGCCTGTATACTGTTCTACATAGCAAAAAACATTTCCCTTTGCTTTTCCTCATACTGTTAAAAGCATTCTGTAATGCACAAACACAATAGCTTGCACTGCATGACTCTTCCCTGGGGATCTGGAATTATGAATCATATGCCATTTATGCAATTATGCAAAGCAGCCTTGAAAGCAGTGCTGGAATATAAATATGAAAAATTAGATTCTCCTTTCACACAATAAATATAGCAAAGGTTAAAGTACAAATTAAGAATCATGTTGAAAAGGAAATATATTCGGATCTTCATCATCCTTCAGCTTTGCAAATAGCCTGACAGCAAATGCTCTCTCCAAGTTTGTCTTGCCGCCTGATAAATTAAAATATGATACCGAAGATGTATTGACACTTTTAGGCTGTTGTGTAGAGGTGTCATATAGCTGAGAGATCAGCCCTCTAAAATGTATGCCTTAATGTCTGATGTTGCCTCCATACAAGTGCTGTAATGCTGATACTGTATTACACAGCACTACAGCAACACAGTAATACTAATAAATTAAGCTACTGCTATGTTTCAACTTCAAAAGCTTTTACAGTAAAGTAACATAAAGCTAGTATAAAAACATTTTAAAGTTCATATAAACTCACTTTGATAATCCATATGTCTGTTTATCTTTGAGACCACATACTACATTTTTTGTTGTGACATTTATGAATATGATCACTTTAGTGGAAGTCATTTCTATTATATAAATTAAGAATGTTGACATGTGCAACTGCTTAAGTATCATCAATGTGGCTGAACATCATAAATCTGGTTAAATGGTTACTTCAAATGTAGTTTCAAATTTCTGGGCCTGCTATGGGTATAACAAAGTACAGTTTGCAAAGCATCTTGTATTAAATTGAAGCTTAGAGTACAAGAGAGTTTATATTTTCTCTGCTATACATTAAATATGTCTAAAAATACATCATGCCACTAGATGAAGCTGAGCCGCATCTCATCCATCCTACGTCACTCAGTATCAGGTACTAATGACTTATGACAAGAGCCCTAAGTGCTGGAGTACTTCAAGGTTGGACTATTGCCAATATCGATTTAGCTTGTATACTTTGGCCGAGGAGTCCTACATGTTACACTTGTCCTAAGGACCAAAGCTGTGTACTTCTATTACTGCGTTAAATTTCATGCACCGTACGTTGATAGTGCTTGACATATTTATGATAGGTGTATGTTTCTACTGCAGCATGTATGTGCTGTTTTCTTTGTTAAACTCAATAAATATTCATTTGAGAAAAAAATACATCATGCCTATAAAATTATTTAGGCCAACAGTCCTAAATTTCAGCATAGGCAGTTTTGATAAAAGGGTGGAGTTTGGGATATTGCGACACATACTGTATGAAGGTGGAATGGGGCAGAACCAAAATGTACCTAAGGGAAAGTTGAAATGTACAAGATATTAAAATAATGCATTTTATGTGGTCCTTTTATTACTTAGTATAGTTTAAAGCTCTTGTTCAAAAAAGTAATTTCTTTGAAGTATTATCATTGCTTTAATGCTCTATGTTTTAGCTTTTATTGCAGAATCCAGATATGTAACAGAAATATAAAACAATATATGAAGCTACTAAGAACAAATGACTGATCAAAAGGCTCCTTGCATCTCTAAGACATTAAACATCTGGCACTTAATGCTTAAAGGATAAAGCTGTTTGAAGAAAGAGGATTTGTTGATGAAATCCTTGAATTGCTTTTAACAAAAGTGAGTCAAAATTATTACCATTTAACAATTCCAACATATGTTAGTCTTATAGTTAAGAGAAGGCTTGTGAAAATGCAAGGTTGTAGGTGTTTTCTTGTCGTACCCTATACTGTTGTAGTCATATCCCAGTGGCAGGATGCCACTGGACACATTCAGACAAAACTGTTGGGTTATATTATCCAGGTGGTGTTGGAATACTTGGGAGTGATTATGTAAGGTAAAGGAAATCTGGTCATGCTTGCCCAATGCCCTACTAATTTATGAAGACCAAAAATGATGATGATAATAAGGCTATTTTTTTAAGTGCATCACAGTTGCCCCTTTATAAAGGGATACAGTATAATATGATATGATACACTGCAGTACAAAAAAAAATCCTATTTAATGTAGTACTATTGTTGGAAATTTTTAGGCAAAATAGAAAAAAACTTTCATTCTTTGCCCTTATGCTGTTTTTTTGACAAACAATCACTTGTAGTAAAAACAGCAGTTGTGGTGCCATTCATTTCAGAAAGTTCCACCCTCAATACTGATTGTGGCCTTTCATTGCAGGCAGTTAGTCATAGTGGAGTTACTCTCGCAGAACTCTACAATACATTACAAGCAAATCCACATCCTATAAAGCAGAAGTTCAGCATGAAAATCTGAAAAAGTCAAAATCCCACAATACAAATTTAAGAAATTCTATCTTACTTGTAAATTCCAAAGATTGCTGTGCACATTATAAAAATTACTGCAGGCCATGCAAACCCCCTGCACTCTAAAGTCAGGATCATTTCTGAAACTTTATGGCGCCTCACGTCCTAGTTGATACGAGTCACCTTCCACTGATCACACAGTAATACAGTTCCTGCCCATTGAAAAAAGCTCAAGCCTCTCTTCAGTGTTGTCACAGTGCTGCTTGCAAGAGGATGTGACATTACCCCAACACAGTAAAAAGCCAAATCTGGCATTGAAGAATGCCAAGACCGCTGCACAGACTGCTCATGTGCACTATACTGTGCTGAAAAATACATTTTAAAGAAATTCTCTATTTAAGTTTTTGGTGGATTTGACCACAATGTTTGGCAAGAAACATGCAAAGTCTCTTTTGTCAAAAAAACCCTTCTGTGCTGTGCATACTTGCACATTATGGCAAAAGCACTTTGACACACAGCGGAATTTAGCTCTACTTTAAAGCAAACTTGTACCTTTCCCACACTAAGCAAAGTAATACTCAACAGGAAATCAGCACTTTCTATATTTGCCATACCTCACTAGACAGCCCACACCAGATTTCTGTGTAAGTCCTCCATGGCCCTAATCTGACAGAGCACAAAGCTGGCAATGAACTGCTTATGCACAGACAAATTATGTTCTATCGAAGGCTGGTATTTCCTTGGTGCTGTGGTAACTGGGGTAATGGAGGGGGATGAGGAAAGCAAGCACTGGTTGCATATGGTCCCGCCGTAGCCTATAATGTTACCAGGTATGGTTAATCCAGCTCCATGCTTGAATTCAGGCTTCTGCCAGTATAGTTGGGGAGGCTCCACCTGTGCTAGTATTTTGGGGGAGAGCACCCTTGCCAGCCTTGTTACCCTGTTGATATTTAAACCTTAGCCCTGGTATGGTGCGATTTTATCCCAGCAGAGAGGGGGGAAGGCGAAGTAAGCATGTTTTACTTGAAAAATTTAAATGAAGAATAAAGTTGGCTAGATCCAATTGTTCAGCTGATAATCATAGGTATTCACTCTCTGTGAATCTGCCCAATCCAGATCAGCTCTTGATCAGCGTGAATCAGTTTGTTCATCTCTTATAAAATCTGTGACTCCAAATACACAAGTAACAGGTTTTAATAACCTCAGTCTAGCAACTAGTTTCGATGTCCTTGGCAGACCATCAGTGTTACTAAGCAACAGGTGCACTGTGATAATCACCCTGGATATTTAACATAGAAAATACTTGTTCCTTTGAAGTAGCAGAAATAGGCTCTTGGGAAGATGCAGCTAGCAGCTAATAACCTTTTTAAAATGAGTAATGTTTGTAAGGAAGCATTGCTTTAAACATTATATTTATTCTGGTAAATATCCCTGGAAAACTTCTATTGTATAGTGACATACCGCTGTATTTAGTTATTGCATTGCAATTGTTGTTGACACTGCTGGCATGATTCATAAGATTTTGCTGAGATCAAACCTCTACATCTGCACTGTAATTAATTAAAAGAATCTGACTTCACAGGATTATAATACTATGGACATCTTTATCTTCCTACAGGGGTACAATCTAGCATCTTGTGAATTCATTGTATCTTCGAGTTTTGGCCAAGAGATATAAGTCACATCTCCTTTGGGCATTCCTTAGCACACTTTTTTTATGGTTATATTCTGATTTTTTTTTAGCTAGGACATTTTTTGAAGAAAGGTTTGCTGAACTTCTACAGGACCTTAATAAATTGCTGCGTACCTCGTGTTCTCTAACAAATGATATGTCTTTCTGTTACAGTAAATGTAAACATTATGCTGAGATAGAGATGATTGGTACTATTAAAATGCACCCCATCTATTAAACTTGTACTGGCAAATGTAAATTAATGTCACCTACATTTTCCGTTCTTAAGATGACTTGTCATGTTGCAGATGAATTCATATTGCATTAAATGATCCTTTATGAAATACATTCCATTTTGGTTCATTATACTTTACAAGAATTTACAAAAATATTTCTCATGAATATTTAACTACATTTCTATCACTCCTCTAAAACACAGTTCTAATGATAACATAAGGGCTTACATATCAGTATACATAAGTATGTGAAAAATTATTATTATACAGGATTTATATAGCGCCAACAGTTTGCGCAGCGCTTTACAATATAAGGAAGACATTACAATCACAATACAATTCAAGACAAGATGGGAAGGAGGGCCCTGCCCCTGAGGGCTTACAATCTAAAAGGATGGGGAAGTGATACATGAGGAGGGAGCTGCGTGGGGATGAATTGTTTGAGAACGTGATGGTTGAGCGGTTAGGTTGAGGTGGGATAGGCTTCCCTGAAGAGATGAGTCTTTAGGGACCGCCTAAAGGCAGTCAAGTGGGGGACAGACGGACAGGTTGGGGTAAAGAATTCCAGAGGATGGGAGAGACTGTAGAGAAGTCCTGGAGGCGAGCATGGGAGGAGTTGACAAGGGAGCTGGAAAGCAGGAGGTCTTGGGATGAGCGGAGCCGACGGTTAGGGTGATACTTTGAGACCAGGTTTGAAAAATGCACTATGTTGTCTATAGTCCTCAAACAGATTAAAAAAATGTTTATCAAATTTAAATTAGGGCTGGTAATTTAAATTTCCGTGTGCGATTTATCGAAAAAAAATTTAATCGATTAATTTCGATTAATTATAACAACGCACATACAGATCCAACTACATTGGCCTATACACACACAGCACAGCAATGAAGTAATAAAATGAACTAGGATAACACTAATCCAGCACGTTATTAATCTCACGTGCCCAACTCAATATTGCCGTCGCTTGAGTGGGGCAACTCAGAATAATAACGTGCTAGATTAGTGTGATCCTAGTTCATTTTATTACTTCATTGCTGTGCTGTATGTGTGTAGGCCAATGCCTTTGCTGGCGCTCGTGCAGAACAAGTACTCACCGGCCCAAGTGGCTCCGTCGGCTAACGAAGGGGAGGGGGGAGGAGTCCGGTGATGTCACGGACATCAACGTCACCTAACTCCTCCCCCTTCCCTTCGTTAGCCGTCACGGACATCAACGTCACCGGACTCCTCCCCCCTTCCCTTCGTTAGCCGTCACGGACATCGACGTCACCGGATAATTTCGATTAATTATAACAACGCACATACAGATCCAACTACATTGGCCTATACACACACAGCACAGCAATGAAGTAATAAAATGAACTAGGATAACACTAATCCAGCACGTTATTAATCTCACGTGCCCAACTCAATATTGCCGTCGCTTGAGTGGGGCAACTCAGAATAATAACGTGCTAGATTAGTGTGATCCTAGTTCATTTTATTACTTCATTGCTGTGCTGTATGTGTGTAGGCCAATGCCTTTGCTGGCGCTCGTGCAGAACAAGTACTCCCCGGCCCAAGAGGCTCCGTCGGCTAACGAAGGGGAGGGGGGAGGAGTCCGGTGATGTCACGGACATCAACGTCACCTAACTCCTCCCCCTTCCCTTCGTTAGCCGTCACGGACATCAACGTCACCGGACTCCTCCCCCCTTCCCTTCGTTAGCCGTCACGGACATCGACGTCACCGGACTCCTCCCCTATCCCTTCGTTAGCCGACGGAGCCACTTGAGGAAGGGGGAGGAGTCAAGTGACGTCGATGTCCGTGACGTCACCGGATCTCCAACGGAACTCCCAGAAGACCCGGAAGCCGGCAGAGAGGTGAGTACCGATCAAAAAAAGTTTAATCGATCAAAGAAATTAACGATTAATCGAGGAATTAATTGTTAATTTTCGCAGCCCTAATTTAAATTAAAAAAAGCTGTTGGAACATAAATTAATTATAAATTAATTATATGGGCAGTACAGGCTGTTCTTCAAAATATTCTGCCTAATGAGAACCATGGTGCTTTATAAAAATGACATGTGTATGTAAAGTTCAGCAGTGGTAGAGGTTCCCTATTTTGCTGAGGACATACCACATAAAAAATTTGATACACACTATGATTCTTTAAATACAACTGTATGTAAAATATAGCACAGTTCTTCCTTGGCAAATGCAGATGAGCATTAGTAAACAAGGCCTTGGAAGAAAAATATCCTGCTTACAGTCATGGGTCACTCACTTTTTTTTGCACAACTCTCCAAAAGTTTTTTGGCACCAATACTTTGTAAATGTAAAAGCTAATTAGATGTTAAATATAGGAGCTATGCTAAGTTTAAGCAATAGGTTTATTATTAGTTTTATGTTAAGCGGTTATGTTAAGGTTAAGGGGGTGATTTACTAACCTAAACACACGCACGCTCCAGGTGTGTGTGATTTTCACACAGCAAAGCGTATTTATCAACCAAAAAGTATCTAAAAGCATATTTCCACTAATGCCATATATAGAAAAATCATGCACATAATGCATATATAATGCTGCTTTACAGTTTAGACAAAAATGGTTAGCTCATGCATTTACATTCCTGCATTCATCAACGCAAGCAACATAACATAGAGCTAATTTACACCACATTACCTTGCAATTCATTGCAGGGCTTTGCACAACACACCTGCTGGGTGTGTACACACTACAAAGGTGTTTCGATTCCTCCCATAGATCATGCTGGGAGGGAACACACTACAGAGGTGTATACACGTTAGTGGTGTGTTTAAAAGGTTAGTAAATCAACCCCTAAGAGTCAGTAAGTTTATATTATTTTTTGGGTTTGATTTATTTTTGGGATGTAATAATAGAGCAACATATGCTATAATACACATTGCTATAAAAGTAAATAGCGGGGAACATTTGTGTGCTGAAATTTCTGGCCATGAAAATCCTGCACCAAAACCAAATGTGCCGGTTTTCAGAAACCAAAACCTTACATACATTATAGGCAAACTAACATGGGTTTTGAGAGTTTAGGAATTGTTATGCAGATTGTAATAATGTGTAAGAATTTCCCTGTCAATCTGTCCCAAAATGTTAACCAAGGTATACTGAAAGGCATAAACACACTTATTAATTAGTGGGATGCAATTATTTACCTTTTGGACCTCTAAGACCAAGTTCCCCAGGAGGACCTTTAAGTCCTGGAAGTCCTCTTTGTCCAATATGTCCTGGTAAACCATTATCACCAGGCGTTCCAGGAGGACCTGGTGGACCTGGTCGTCCTGGTAGGCCAGCAGCTCCAGATTCTGGTCTTCGTAGACTGGCTGCCAAGTTTGCTAACTGTCCTGTAGAAATAAAATTCAAACACAAATTGTAAAACTCATATACAGTCAGGTTAACGCTGTACTTTTTATTTCAGTGTATATTGTTATATTATTTTTCTATATTGACTATGCTTACTTCTATTTCTATTTCCTATTCATATAGTACTAATATATTACACAGCACATTAGAGAGCACTCTCATCAGTGTCACCAGTCTGTTTCTCATGTCTCATCAATCCATCAGTCCTTGCCTCTTGAAGGAGATCAAAACTTAATGCCCCTTACCATAGACTATGGACAATTTTGCAAAAAGCCAGCCAACATTTAACTGGGGTTTATCCCATTTATTGCAAGAAGCATAACACATCAAACAGGTATAATTAAAATTTAGGGATGTTTCCCCTTCTTCAGGATGAGCCATCCCTAAAAACTCACTACACCAGTTTGTTGTAGTCTGATTTTTCATTTAATCCTTAATTATTTGTTTAACTGCCAGTTGCCATCGATATGCAATACGATTTAATATATAAGAAACCAAAGTGCATAGAATAAACACACAGTAAGGTTGCATGTGGTCTGACCAGTCATGTATGTGCTGTGCTTATCTCAGCTATGATTAAAACATCAGTAACATGGCTATATTCACTAACTATACTGCACTGACTGGACTAATCTTACAGCCATGCACTCACTGCAGAATGAGTGGATTCAAGTAGAAGCACTGAAAGTATGATAATATTATCCATTTATAACAGTTCATAACCATAACCAAGATAGTGTTGACTCTTGAAGCTCAATAATACCTTTGCATCATGCCTGATGACATCATCATGTTTACAAGGAGATCAACTGATTACACAGCTACTTTATTTAATTTAGCTCAATCTATAATTGAATACAGAACCAAGGCTGTTATCTATTACACATTACACATGGTATGCATGTTCATATAGCATGTAACAGCATTTTCATTTAGTAGGTAAATTACATGAATTGGAAAATGAAAAGGTGATTTTTGCTTTGTGCTCCAGTTAAACATACCTTGCAACACTCTCATACACACTTGTTTGATGTGCTGGTCTGTAGGTTCTCTACCCTAAATAATGAAGCAAATTATTTATAAACAGCTAAGAAATAAAGCTAATTAACAGCAGCATACAATAGAAAACTTCCTTACGTAGGTATTCAAACAACTGTTAACACATAAATTAAAGCTAAAGGAACAGAGAAAGGTACAATATTTTGGTATATAGATAGAGTTAATAAATTGACACATACGATTCCCTTTGTTGAATATCAGTGATCAAGTAATAATGGCCATAGTGAAAGTGAAAAATAATCAGCCAGGTAGAAAATTAAAAGCTGCTCTTCCTTTGTTTACCACTTAAATGCAAAATCAACACCAGAAATGTAAGCTACAAGGTTTACTTGATTTTAGAATTCAAGTCCTGTCCATTTGAGCAGCTATGTCCTCCTTTCTAAGCACCATCTCTTGTATATGGCCAGATAAAGGGGAAATATAAATATAGGTAATTAATGGGAGGTGCAGATAGCAAAATAAACAACGTAATGTAACAGGAAAAGCTACATGCATAAACATAAAAGGCAAAACGCAATACTCAAACATATAAAAATAGCATATTGTAGTTAATCTAGCCTTGGATTGCATAATGTTTAACCTATCCTTATATTAACATGCAAATATGAATCTCTCAAGAGTGCATATTCATGTATTGGAGGAAGGCAGTGAGAGAGCAGGCAGATAAGCCTAGGACTGACCTTATGGAAATAGCACCTTTTGACTGAAAAATCTATCCTATTGATCCACTTTTCCAGAACAATTGGCTTGGGGTCGACTACTTCTACTTGTCCATTCTGGCAGTACACATCTTATGTCTATATGAAACCTTTACAGATGTATGTGGTTGGATAAATTAATCTGATGCAGCTATGTGCAAGTATGGCCATGCTGTACATTCTGTCATTTAAACCAGTGTCTATTATTCTGTTCCAGTAATTTACAAAGATAAAATGAGTAGTTGTAAGTTGTCCACCCTATCCCCCTGAGACCTATACTGACTGCAGGTGGAAATGTCAATAATCTGAGCTCATCTCAAATTATGTATAGTATTTAATTAAGAAGACATAGCATGAGAAAGGATGGGGCAAGAAGTTAGGTTAGAAATGTCACTATATCCCCAGCCACACACAAAGCATTTTGCAAAGATACAGAGTTCCCCGACCATGCTCATTGATACAACAGGCTTGTAGGTAAGAATGGTCACAAAAGTATGAAGCTAATTTAATTATGTTGTTTCATAAAAGAATTCAGTTAATATAAGTGAAGAAAAAGGTACCTAATACCCACCATATTAATAAATTTGTATGTATTTCTATGTAATAACAGCTGGCTAAAATCTGATGTATGTCTGGGTACCATATTGTTAGGCTGGTAGATATGGGGCTTATGTTCAGCCAATACATTGTTGCATAGTGGCCAAACACTCGGGTCAAGAAGCTGGATCTATGGGTTTGTTGGCAAGTTTTTTGTTTTTGTATTTTTAAACGAGAAACAAATCATTAATTACTTACTGCAGGACCCTGACCTCCTGGTAATCCAGGGGCACCTTGTTCACCTTGCATCCCTCGGGGACCAGCTGAACCTTGAGGACCTTCTACACCAGGGAGGCCACGACTTCCTTCAGGGCCACGATTACCGGGTTCACCAGGGCTTCCAGTCTGTATGTAAAGTAGGGTGATTTAACAGTATACAGATAAACTGGGAGATACTGGCAGCATTCCTAATTCAAGTGGTTTAATTATTAAGTGGTGTGGCTTACAAAACCTTGTAGTATATGTTTTTTTGTTTACACTAGAAACTGCAGTAATACGTTTAGTGTCACAAAGCACAAGCTTTTTTTGTTAAGCACTACTCCCTAAGTTACATAGTTAGTCAGGTTGAAAAAGGAACAAATCCATTGAGTTCAACCTATAAAGACCTATAGAGAGTCCAACCTAAGGCCCCATAATGTGCCAGCTTTAATGTACATTTGTACCAAATTGACAAAATAAAACTAAGCAGAAGTAAAACAGTCTGCTTTGATAAATACAAGGTTATTCATTTTAAAATGTGTATGTTGTGACTCTTTGGTAACATGAAACTTAAAGTGAGCCTGTGAAGATGGAAACAGGGGAGTTGCTATTGCTGACATGTTTTTAAAATGTCACCCTGATCCTAACTTCAATATTTAGTGCATCACTGACCTGGAATATGGGTCAGGAAGGGTGTTAGACTTTTTACACTTCACTGACTGCATGCTTGTTTCTGTAGATCTTGAACACACAGTGCTGTGTGTTTGAGTTCTATTTACTTGGGTTGTACCAGCACAGCTTCCTTATTGATTATTCCTGTTTTTGTACCTTTAAATCAACAATGGCATCTCCCATATTTCTATTTTCAGAAATTCCCTTCAAGAATTATTGGACACCTAGATACCATTGCTGACCTCCTTATAAAATGGCTAGTTGCCTGGCTGACGTGCTGATAAAATAGCTTTGGTACTTTCTAAGTTACTGACCCAGAGCAAGCATTCCACAACTGAAGTCACAACTCCCGACCAAATCCAGATACTTGTTACCTTGTTCCAGGTCAGTGACTTGCAAATAAATAGTCATAAGGTTTACATGCTAGCCAGGGAACTAGCATTTTCAGAATGAGAATCAGCAAAGGCATCTCCTATATTTCTCCTGGCACCTCATTTCAGCAATTATGTAATTTAATAATTTCCTATTATGGGAATAATATGCATAGTTTTTCTTTTCATTGTATCTGTGTGGGTTTTTGATCCTCCCACAAACCAAATAAAATACATGACTTGTACCTAAAGTTGGTCCTAATGTCTACTTGATATAATTTACCAGAGAACAAATCGTTATAAATGCGTTAAAGATTGAATCATTAGAACAAATCATTATTCACAAAGGAAAAAAAAAATCTTCAAATGTAATAAAATACAATATTCAATTATAATGATATGCATAGCACCTTTATGACAGATAACCTTTACTACTTTCATGGTCTTCAATAGTTTCATTGTACATCCGTTCCAAAAGAAAGGAAATGAATATACTGACCAGATAACTCTGCATTTAGAATATATGAAAGTACATGCAGATAGGTCATTAATTAGAGTATTGTGCAAAATGTCAGATTATTTACGATACAGACAGATGGAGCTCACAGGAAGCTTTACAGAGGCAATATTAATTATAGTTGCTGAAACTTAAATGTAAAATATGTTAATGTGCCCTAAGGTTTACCTTAGACATTTCAGATAAACAAAATGACAGGCTTTATTCGCTTTTTAGATTTTCCAATTATATATTTAGATTTTCTTCATCTGACTCCATGCTGCTAACCCCCCATAATGCACCAATGCACCCCAAATCATTTACACTTCTGTACAGTACAATAAACCTCCCTGTGGTGACAAATGATGAGATATTTCAAGAGTAATAAAAGGTTCTGTAATTAGAAGAAATAGCATCACTATTATTACTATGTAGAATGTATCCTAGTTCCTAGTAATGAAGTTAATAAAAGTGCAGGTGGCAGATAATTGATCTTGCCATACCCTAGGAGGTAGATACTGTTCTGCTACTGAAAAGATAACCATAAGATAGCCTCAGCAATAAGGATGAGCTCAGATTTGGACTAATCCTCTGAGCCCGGGAAGTGTCCTGGTGCTTGGCTGCAGGCCAGGGAATTCCCCACCCTGCAGCTGAACTTAAGCAAAAGGGTGCCATGCATGTGCTTATGTCATTAATCTTTTATGGCCACATGGCCATTTTAAGAAAATGTTATTGACCAAATACTGTATAGCCATGTGGCCATATTTGATGATTGGGTGGAAGTGAAAGAAGCTTCCTTCGGTGTTCAGAGTTTATTAAAGAAAACTACATTGTAGTTCTCTGAAAGTATCAGACACAAGCGTCAATTTTAGTGTGACATTTAATAACATATACTTACAGATCCCTTTGGTCCTGGATTTCCAATATCACCCTAATAAAAAAAATATGTTGCATATTACATATAGATAGATATTGCATTATATACAATATTTCATATTCACTATAATTGTTATTAAAATAGAAATAATAGTGATGTATGATAAAGCAAAACACTCAGCAAGTCTTATTTCTTCTCCATTTTCATATGCTCCAAGGGACAATGTCCTAAAATGACACCACTACTGATCATCAATCAGTCTTATCTGCCCTTTCCTTCAACTTTAATGCAAATAAGTCTGTATTTCTATTTTTATGCTGTCTATCCATAGCTATGGGACATTAAAACCATATAGGTTATGTTGAGAAGGAACTAAAGCAATCAAAAAGCCCTCACTCTAATCACTGCATAGCACAGTAAAGTTATCTTAAAACAGATGGTATTCACATGTCTCATTCATTACATATCCCAAAAAAATAAAAGGATTATTCTTCATTTCATGTCAGGTGTACAGCCTGAAACAGCCGTATGCAGTTTGGAATAAATGGCTCTATAATATTAGGCTATATATTCACTATACAAAAGTGGTTCTGAATGTGCATCTGGCCAATGGGGCGTGAAACAATTATTTCCATGGCTCCGCCCACTGGCCTGGAATAAGAAAAAAAAATTATCTTATTTTTGGGATATATGAGGGAAACAGATATGTGAATGCCTTCTGTTTTAAAAAGGCTTTACTGTGCTACACATTGATATTTAATTGTATATATTTTTCAAAGCTTCAATTATAACAAAGTTTAAATGCATTTGTGTTATGAGGGAACATATAACCAACTTATAAAATTGAATAATCATGTGTTCCCAGATCATTTAGGCACTTAGCTATCAGTACAAGGATTGAGCATCTCTGCTCCTGATGAATGACATATAAGTATACAGAGCATGAGGAAAGATTAGTATTAGGGGTTAATTTAGGGGTTATGTTATATAAGAAGTATCTTACCTGTTCACCCTTCTCTCCTCCAAAGCCTTCCTCTCCAGGGCCACCCTGCATTTAATAACACACCTTTAGCACCACAGACCATTTATTTTCTACATGAAAAGGTGATTACTCAACAAATTCTTAATTCTTGTGCATTACTCACCTGTTCACCTTTGGGACCAGTCTCCCCAACTCCACCCTAAAAGAAACAAAAACAAATGAAACATATCTAAATGATAATGATTAATTACATATTTACATAAAGGCTGCATTATATTTCTGTAGGATTGAACAGGGCTTATTTTCAGGAGCTGATTGTACAAGGAAGGTAATTGTGTGCAAGGTCTGGTTTCCCTACTAAGCCTAGATCTGTGCATAGTCATGAATGTACAGTAGGTTAATAATGTCTACACTTTACTTCCTTAAACAAAACCAGTGAGGAAAAAGTGTTTCCATCCTTAAATTGTTAAAATAGTGCACCATTATTTCTCAGGCATATGTGTGTGTTCTGTTATTTACTACTATTCTCTGTCTATCAGAGCAGAAAGGCCCCCATGTTGGCTGGTCACTCTCACACCTCATTACATGGTGATAAAAAATACATTTAGGTTAATTTACAAAAAGAACCGAGGCTATTCACCTAGTTCAGTAAGGGTTCACTTTGCACAGTCAATGTTAGAGAAGCTTTGTTCACTCTGAATACCAAATCATTTGCAAGGGGAGTAAAAAAACAACAACATTTGCTTCTGAATATGACTGGGTATTCACAATGAACAAAGCTGCACCTAATTCACTAACAATCTTCTGTCCAGGAATCTAGAGGAGCATAAAACTGTCAACTAACATCGTTTCTTTTCATGTAATCCCGGCAGCACCTTTATTACATGATAGTTTATGAGTGCCTTAGCAGCACTGAGCTGATAACTGAGTGATAAGATGGCCTTACAGCCTAAGACCAAAGCTGACCTTGAAATATACAATTTTTATTGTACAATCTCTTTAGATCTATAATCAACTATGTAGTGCAAGGGCGTGTCAGAGGTGATACAGATTTAATGGATTATTTTGGTGTGCCTTCATACAACAAAGATTTAGTATATCTAAAGGAGATTGTACAAAGATTGTACAGTCAGATTGTATAGGATATGGCCAGCTTAAGTCTGACCCTCCTTCTCTGTAGCAGAGAGAATGCAAGTACATATTTTAAAAGTGGAGATTCAGATTTATACAGAGGTCTTTTGGTGACTTATTCTCTACAAGCAATTTTAAATCACGTCATTTAAAGTCACCCCGTGCAAAAGCCTATACTTATCTTTTCTCCCTTCCCCTGCCACATGTTGCTGGGAGCATAGAGAGGAAGCCCCTTGTAAACTTTGAGGCTATGCCAGATGACACTTACACAGGATTGAGGGAACTAGCTCCTGCAAATTGTCTGACCTGTTTGTAAAGCAAACCCGTGCTTTGGCTTTTCAAAGCACAGGTTTGCTCATTGGCTACTGTCTCTGATTGTACAAATATTTTCCAGGTGACACCTTTGATCAGCTAATTGAGGGATGTCGACCGAAAGGGTGCTGACAGCAGCACACACTATGAAAAATTTCCATTGATTCCTGAAAAACTGGCCGAAATCCGCACAGTGTAAGGGCACCCTTAGCTCAGTGTTGCTCTATTTGGAGCAGCTTGTACAAGGGAAATGAGTCAATGACAATCCCCATACCCTTATATACCAGGCATTTAGTTTCGCTCCCTGTGGCAAGAATGGTGTGCAGGAAAGGTGAGTATATGCAGGAGGGAATTGGACATTAAACTTAAACTGCTACTTTATCTCCAAACACCTAATCACAGATGTAGCTTTTACTAAAAATCGTTTTTATACAGTTTCTGCAACCATATTTGTTTGCAGTGTTTGCTATGTGCTCTAAATTGCTCTTTCTTGTCTTGTTCTTTCTTTTTCGGTTTCTTGACTGTCAGCAAATAAATACAAACAAAGAGAATGAGAGAGGAGGTTCAGAATATTAGAAGAATCAGCTGAGATAAATTGATTAAATCCCAGGAGCAAAACTACTTTTGAAGATATTCCAAGCATCCTACAATTATAAGGAGCTGTTCTCAACACACATTTGCATATGTTTAGTAATCAGTGCAGTCAGGAATTGCCATGGCTGGATTAAAGCTACAGCAGTTTAAATTCTGCAAATCAAACAAATGTAATTTTATTACAAATCCCACATTCCCTTGCAGCTGCACAGTCGACACATCAAGATGGTTTAAAAAGGTAATAGAAAATTAAACAAACTAAGGCAAATAAGTAGAAAAAAACTGTCAGACTAATTACATACAGAGTATGTGATCTGGAATTAAATAAATAGCTGACTAACTGTAAGATGTGATGGTACAAACAGAATCATTTTTGTCACTAGAGAAATGGGATCATATATTATGTTCAGAATTGATTGGAAATTTAATGTAACAAAGCTTTAAACGAATGGAGGGCTTCAGATCTTCTATCATCTGTGGCAGAAACATGCAGATGAACACAATTATTGATGGGGAACTCATCAGAATATTTCCAACAATGTTATACATGAAATACATATACAAAACAACAACATAGTCAAGCCAAATGCAAATAAAGGCAGTGAATTAGGAGCCTGCCATTGCAACTTATAGCACATTTCACAAGACTGACTGAAAAAAAATTATTATTATTATGACCCACTAGACATAAACTTTTGTAACAAGGCAAGCAAAGACTACAGCTAAAGTAATAGGAACTTTCATCTAAAGATAAATTGATCCAAGTTCAATATGTTTACTGTATTTACTACACCCCACATGTTGTAGTTAAAATGGGCAAATTGTCTCCCCATGCCTGTACAAAGTGCTTGGGTGACACTGGTACATTTTTTCCTATGATTCGAGCTTACTCCAGGATACGTATCATGTAAACGTAGGGAATGGTGATATGGTTAAAACCCCTGGATCCTGTTGCAGGATATAAAGCATGGTTTCTGAGCTATAATCCTGAACAAATTTTTCTTAATGTAGCATTCCTTTCTCCTGTTAACATTACCATCCTGTTACATTTCATACCTAAAACCCCCAACCCTAATAGCCCCACTTATGCACCTAATACCCACATCCTATAGCCTTTTTTACCTTGCATGGTATGTCCCCTCTATCTTCTAAAGAAGCAAAATTGCAACACATTTGCTTAGGGTAATGATGACAAAAAGACTGTGTTGAAATGGCTTGGAAGGCCCAATGTTCTCCCCAGAAGTAAAAGCCTTGTTGCAATCGCAACCTCTGCTACCAAGGTCCTTTACGCAACTAGACAAGATATCAAGGTCCTTTACACAACTAGACAAAATACTAACTTGTGCTTAAAGTACTGTATATCTAAAGCCAAAACTTTTTTAGTTATGTATATTGCGTCCCACTGAGGATATTTTTCTTTACCCCCTGTCTTGAAAAGCGACAACAGGAAGCAAGAAGAGATCTTTTCGAAGTAAGGGAATTTTTCCCTTAGACAGTCATAAATGGAACAAGTCCCTCCAATGGAAGATTTTCCCTCAATTCTAGTTACAATGACAACTCAATATTTTGGAATTTCCCTTACTTTCAGTACCAGTGACAATAATCGACAGGAAAAACACAGAGAGCGAATCTGCACAGCAGGGACACAGACAGTAATGTAAACCTGACATGGGTTTTAACCCTTTTCTACTCTGTCCAAAACAAAGAAAGAGTTGGCTTAAGATACACTTTAAGATATTTTGAAGGACTGCAGTTTACATTTTGCTTTAAAAAATAAATTAGGATAAGGCAGTAATAACACACATAATGCTGCTAATTGTGCAATGTTATATGTGTAATAATGGCAATATTTGATAATGCACTGTCAATGTAATTAAGGCATTACAAGTAAAAGTGTTTGCATGTTCAGTAATCAAATGAGTTAAAGCATAGTGTAGACAGTCCACTGCTCCAATTCTTAGATCCCATCCAACTGTGAATCACCCCACAGGTGCAGGCAAAGTCAGCTCGCCCATGGATGACCATAAATAAAATATTTTACTCCCCATGTCTGCAACCTCTCACGCGTTTTATCAATCTGGCTTAATCATAGAGGCCTCTATGATTAAGCCAGATTGGTGAAATGTGTGAGAGGTTGCACACATGGGGAGTTGTTCCACAGCATGTATTTGTTATTTCAATAAATAACTATTTTACCTATGGTGATCCACGGAAGTGCGGCTTGTTTTTGAGGACAAACGAGTTAACGGTTACATTGAATTGCAATCTCAACTCATGCCCGACCTATTACTATATTTTCATTCCCTGAGCTGCTAAAAAAGATAAATGGACCACACATAACACCATGGCAGCAACCTGGACATCAATGGTCTAAATGTATGCAAGGGCACAAGGGGAAAAGAAAAAGAGTATGCACCTACTCCTGCTCTATGCATTTTGCTGAACAGTTAATTCCTATACAGTATGAATACTTTTATGAAAAAAATTTGATTTGTGTGACTTTTTTAAAATAGAATTTTATAAGTGTTCTATCAAGAATACGGTATCTGTAGAGTAGTAATATTGAAACATAAGTCACACTGGTAATATATCATCTGTAAAAAAGTATCTGCTGATTCGCTTTTACAGATCATATAGCACCGAGGTCTGTTTTACGGTCTCAAAACTGCTTCTTGTAGTGTAATGTCTCTATATTTCCCAGTCAGGGGTCTATTACCCCATATATAATAGTCAGTGAAGTTTAAGGGTACTGTTACACATGCTACCGATGTATGTCATTAATAACACTATGTTTGATCCCATCTTTCATCACCTCAGTCTAGAGGCGTAAAGAAGCATTGTTTACAGAGGACCTACTAAGATAATGTTCTTGATTCCACAGAGCACCATACTGTGTTCATACAAGCATTCAATCTGACAAGCCAAGGAAGATTGGGTGGACCTAATTAACTAAGGGTAATCTATTTTATGCATTATCTGTCCTTGAAGTAACTACAGACATTATATGGTCATTATGCAAATTATTTCATTACACCTGTTTGATAATTTGATAGTGTCATGCAACAGCAATCCCTGAAACAGCAGTTTTTGAGGAAACATTAACAGCAATGTTGCAGCTTTCTCCACTATGTATACAGATGAAAATCAAATATGTTAACCATT